TTCAGGAATTAATGTCGAATAGTTTCGATATGTGAATCAACATCAAAGTTGAGGCTGAGTTGCGTACGGACAAGGGCGGATAAGCACAAGTCGTGTAATAGCTTCGAGAGTGTTTGGGCAGATTCGTCAGGTGCCAAGGGATCTCGTTCTAGAAAAGGGCTATCCCTTGATCGTCAGGGTCTTATTCCCGTCGTATTCTATCTTATACACGGATTATGTTGTAAGACTACCTTACCTACTCCGTACGGAGCAGAATCACAATCATTAAGCCTAGACAGGTCCTATTCGGGCGTGATTGATCTCGTGCTTCACAGCTTGCGTAAGTGAAAGAGTAAGCTCATAAGTAACAACAATTAATCACTCTCACAAAATGCGAATCCGAGAAACAAAATGATCGATTAATTTACCATAATAGGCATCATTCAAGCGCAGCTTATTTAGGACTCGTGTGGCTTAAAGCTTAACATCCTTGCCTCGTCCCTGATTCGTATCCGCTGACGTCGTTGTTTCAACTTGTCTCCCCCACTAACATAACCACTAAACTAAGCTAACCGCCGACCTCATTTATCTTCAACTCATTATCTATAACTACCTACAATTCTCATTCTTCACTATCGAATGATCACTCAAACTTGACTTTACTCTTAAATCTCTCAATACCTGTGAGCAGCTGCTATGGCAGGCATTGTTGATGAAAAAGCTGCTGCGGGTCGGCAGCATCAACCCCGCGATGGCGATAAGACAAACACAGGGGCTGTAGCCTCAGACGACCTTCAGTTACCAGATATCAACCCTGCTGAAGGAGATGGAGCACCACCTCCATACGGAGAGAACCACGATCAGGTTCATTTCTCACAGCCTGGCTTTGACGCTGGTGCTGCGATAACTGGTACATACCATATGCCTCTGCATGTGAAACATGTATAAACTAACTCTCGTCATTCTTTAGGTGATGGCCGAGTCAATATTAATATCAATGCCAAGAACAGGAGACTCACAGACCTTCTTGCCCCAACTCTACAAGGCCAACTTGCACCTGAGCCTGAACTGCCTGATCTTCCTCCTGCATATATCCCTCCCAGTCTAGGAGGTCTGCCTGGACAAACACCGCCACCCAAACTCAATGTTGTCGTACAGATTGTGGGGTCTCGTGGTGATGTCCAACCCTTTGTTGCACTGGGAAAGGTTCTGAAGGACACCTACGGCCACCGAGTTCGAATTGCTACTCATCCTACTTTCCAATCCTTTGTTGAGGAGAATGGTCTCGAGTTCTTCAGTATTGGTGGCGACCCTGCCGAACTGATGGCATTTATGGTCAAACACCCCGGTCTCATGCCTGGTTTCGATGCCATTACAAGTGGTGAAGTGAGCAAGCGCAGAAAAGGCATCCAAGAAATTCTCATGGGATGTTGGCGATCCTGTATCGAAGGTGGTGACGGTCTAGGACCGCCTCCTAAACCTCATGCTTCTAATGCTCCTTTGGACGTATCCCTGGAGGTACCTGGCGGGCCTGGTCAAGAGCCTTTTGTTGCTGATGCTCTCATCGCGAACCCTCCTAGCTTTGCCCATGTCCATATTGCTGAGAAGCTGGGCATCCCAGTGCATATGATGTTTACGTGAGTCTCCTGCCTTTATGCAATGCTGCCGAATACTGATTACCCCTTTAGCATGCCATGGTCGCCAACACGAGCCTTTCCCCATCCTTTGGCCAACATTCAGTCATCAAATACAGACGATGTGATGACAAACTACATGTCATATACTCTAGTCGAGATGATGACATGGCAGGGGTTAGGAGATGTAATCAACAGGTTCCGAGAGAAGGCACTTGATCTTCCCCCACTTTCACTAATCTGGGCACCTGGACTGCTTGCAAGACTCAAGATTTCTTGGACATATTGCTGGTCAGTTCTTCTGGAGCATTATATGAATACATCTAACTCGACACAGGTCTCCAGCATTGATTCCCAAGCCCAACGATTGGGGACGACATATCGACATTGCTGGCTTTTACTTTCTCAACCTTGCTTCCTCATACACCCCTGATCCAGACCTGGAAGCATTCCTCCGAGATGGTCCGCCCCCTGTTTACATCGGATTCGGATCCATCGTTGTTGACGACCCTAATGCCATGACCGAGATGATCTTTGAGGCTGTCAGGCTGTCGGGTGTCAGGGCATTAGTCTCCAAGGGCTGGGGTGGACTTGGTGCTGATGACCTTGGTAAACCAGATGGCGTGTTTATGCTTGGCAATGTTCCCCACGACTGGCTGTTTGAGCATGTCTCATGTGTCGTGCATCACGGTGGTGCTGGCACCACTGCCGCTGGTATCAAGGCCGGAAAACCTACTCTTGTGGTCCCCTTCTTTGGTGATCAGCCATTCTGGGGTGCTATGATAGCCAGAGCCAATGCGGGCCCTGACCCCATTCCTTACAAACAACTGACAGCAGAGAAGCTTGCAGAAGCGATCAACTTTTGTGTTAAACCGGAAACTCTAGAGCAGGCCAAGGTGTTGGGCCAGAAGATCAGAGAAGAACGAGGAACCGATGTTGGTGGTAAAAGTTTCCACGATCATTTGGACACGGACAAGTTACGTTGCACTTTGGCACCAAGCCGAGCCGCTGCATGGCGTGTAAGGAGGAGTCAAGTAAGGCTGAGTGCGTTTGCGGCTGCAGTACTGGTTGAGCAAGGGTTACTGCAATGGTCTGACCTAAAGCTGTAAGTTAAGATACCAAAAATGTCCAAGGTCGAGCTAACATGTACAGATACCGCATGACGGAGTACAACACAGAGGAACAGCCGACTGACCCAATCTCTGCTTGCACGTTGTCGCTTGTCACCGATATAGGAGGAATCGGAATGGCAATCGCCGATATGCCCAGGGAGCTTTTCAAGAGCATGTCGCAGCCCAAGAAGAAGGACTCAACACAAGGGGAAGCACAGGATGCCGCAACCCCTCCAGCATCAGGAAGCGAGACATCGCTCCCCGTGCCTCAGGGCAATGAATCGGAGAAGAGTTCGGCACCTGCACCTAGTATTGCAGATACAGAAACTTTGGGCTCTACGGTTCCTACTACTGCCCACTCCAATGCCTCGCAACCAACTTTGAGCGACACAGCATCCAGCGTCTCTCGTCCTTGGTCTCCAGGTCAATCAAGTACCCAAGGATCGGTCAATGATAAGTCTTGGAGAGAACAGATCAAAGAAGCGGCTAGCAAACAGCAGCGACGTGCGTCGCCCGTCAACTACGTGAATGCCGCCGTCGGGACTGGAAAAGGAGTTGGTCGAGTCGTGACCACTGGTGCCAGAACACCTATGAACTTTTGCCTTGGACTAGCCAGAGGATTCAGAAACATGCCAAGGCTGTATAATGATGATACGATTCGTCCGGTCGAAAAGGTAACGGGAGTCGGCTCTGGAATCGTAGTCGCAGGTAAGGAGTTTGGCTATGGCCTGTTCGATGGCGTCACTGGTCTGGTAACACAGCCTTTGAAAGGTGCCGAAAAGGAGGGTGTTCAGGGGCTGGTAAAAGGCTTTGGCAAGGGTATTGGAGGTCTGATCGCGAAGCCGGCAGCCGGTAAGTTTGTTGTCGATGCGTTGTGAATGTTGTACTGACACAAAACAGGCTTCTGGGCCATCCCAGCTTACACCATGCAGGGCGTGAATGCAGAGGTCTCCAAGTACTTTGCCAAGAGCGTTCAGAACTATATCACTTCGTCACGAGCTACCCAAGGTCAGCACGAGATGCAAGAGGCAACACCGGGTGAAAGAGGTGATGTCGTTCAAAGATGGAATAACGTAAAGTTCGACCTCAAGAACTACTATCAGTGGAAGAGAAAGGAAAAGGTTGCAGGAAAGCGCCCTGAAGAGCCCCGCCTTGACAGCTCAGAGGCTGGATTTGAGCGGCCACGCACAGGATGGCGACATACCAAGAAGATGTCTTTCGAGGAACGAAAGAAACTTCACGCCGACAAGGATGCATGGAAGAGGGGATTCCTGGACGCCCCGGTCCCACAGTCAAACGCAAGCGATGCTTCAAGTATACGAACGAGCTCATCGGAGGATCCCGAGCTCGAAAAGGCTATTCGGGCGTCAGTGCTTGAGACATCGCGTGGCAACAGTGAGGAAGACGCCCAGGTGGAGGCAGCTATCCGTGAGAGCATCAAGGCTGTTCGGCAACAGGTTGGGTCAAGCGAGGCAGGCCCGCTTCCTCTCAAGGATCCGTCAATTTTTGAAGATGCCGACTATCAAATCACAGACGAGGAGTATCAGGCTCTTGTCGAGCAGGCGATCCAGCAGAGTCTTGGTAACGATGTACCGTTACCCGACTATTCTGATGTGCCAGAGCTTGATGCAACGGATACTGTGTCTCAACCTCCCGCCCAGTTCACCACCAACGAAGACGACGCAGAGCTGAAGCGTGCCATTGAAGCCTCCAGGAACCAACCTCCGCCGCCGCTCCCCCCAAGGGAAGAAAATGATGATGAGTTTGAACGGGCCATTGCGGCGTCGAAAGAAGCTATGGAAAAAGAAAGCAGTCAGCGGTCGGAGGAAGATATCGTGATGGAGTATGTCAAAAAGCAGAGCCTGGCGGAGGAAGAGTATAGAAAACAAATGGCAAAGGGGAAGAGTGCAGCGGGTGGTGGCGATGATGATGACGAGGAGTTGAGGCGGGCGATGGAGGAGAGTTTGAAGATGAACCGGGGAGATACATCAGGTCCATCCGGAAATTGAGGCGGTAAACGCAATAGACGATGTGAATTCGACAAACATGCAAGATACTAGGATACCCGCATTGAACACGAAACAAATGAATCGTACTGTTTGATATTGTGTGCCTATTTGTGCAAACGACCGCGTTAGTGTACATCTTGCCATTGGCTTGGTGGTGGTAGATTATACAAACACTCAGCCGACGTGCATATACTACTCACCATGTACCCCTGTCTCTGTCTATTGACCTCTCAGCCAGAGAGAGGACAAGGCCAGCAAAAGAAACGCATAATGCGATCAGGGCTCCCGCTCAAGTGGATTGTCTTTTCAACTTGGACAACATATCGTTCACCAACTTGCATCACAACTACCATACTCAAGCATACCTTACTCAGCCAACCCGGGCCCAAACATGCCTGGACAGGAGCAGAAACTGCCCAGCATACGTGTAAGTGAAATATATTTGACGCCCCCTTTGTTCTGTCTTTGTATTGACGTCTCTCTTTAGCGATTACGATATCCAGGTGCAATGGCATCTATGCCCGAGTTGTCTCAAGATGGGAATTCAATGTCCAAAGACCGGTAAGCCCACACAACAGCATGTGCCTCCCCATCAACGCTGACTTGAGCCAACAGGTCGGAGAAAGACGCGACCTGCTTAGACAGTCGTTAGACGACGCCATTGCCAACAGTCGCTCGGAAGTTGATGATTCCCCCACTGTCACCCTTGACTCGGTTAGAAAGACGGGCAAGCGTGACGATTTCCCGAGTGTGTCCGTTTCTAATCCGCGTTCTTTGAAAAGGCCTAGACCTGAGGAGAAGGAGAAGGAGAAGGAGAAGGAGGCCGCCAGAGACAAGGACTGGAAGGCTCTGGAGGTCAAGATCAAGGCGTTGGAAGAGCAGTGGGTGAGAAACAGGAAGGAGATCCAGGCTCTGAAGCACAAGTATGAAGAGATTCATGTAAAGGTCGAGGCTCTTGAGAGAGAGTTGAGAGGTGGATCTATCTATGTGATCCGAATCTAAGGATGGGAAGCCCGTACGGTCTGCCTGTGAGACCTTGAACTGGTCTCAAGGGATCAGAACTGTATTGGCTTGGATTACTGGTATGGATTATCGAGCACTAGTTAGTTACCCACATCAAATTGAGCTCCTATGCTGTCACTTACTTGTCGTCAACGTGTAATGAGACATTGGATGTGCATGTATGGAGCGGTCGAGCTGAAGATATTAGGCAGTAAATCGAGGGCCTGTAATTACACCATATGTTAGCTTGAGCAGAAGAATAAGGTTTATATGCATATCTAGTCTCAATAGACGTCTATTTCTGGTGCCGTAAAAGGAGGAATCGTCTGTATGGTAGTGTAGTATCTTGTATATGTCGAGACGGACATTAAGTCAAGTAGATATGCGTTTGCCCTAAAATAAATGAAAAATGAAAGGTTTTTGTGGAAGTAACAGCTATTCACTCGGTGTTTGGCAGCGTTGGCGGCCTGGCAGGCCAAATTAACTAGTGGATGGGGGGCCTTTGTTTCTCCTGGGCCCCGAGTCTCTCTCCCCCCTTCCATTATCAACCACTCCTCGTTTTCTCCCCATACAAAGCAAACTTCTTCGTGAGACTCGGTCTCAGATTGCTACTATGAGCGATAGTCCTCGTATCAACAATCGCTACAAGCGAAAGAAGGGTGAGGGCAACGGAGTCGTGAGTTCTCCCCTCCTCACACCCTCTCCTCTCCTCACCTCGAGCTGACGCGAACAGATGCAGAACCCAGAGGCTTCCGACCGCTTCATCCACAAGAGTATTGAGAATGACGACGATGACTTCGTTATGGTCAAGGATTCTGTCAATAGTGCTGTTGATAACGACACTGGCGACGATGCTCCTGCTCCAAAGAAGAAGCGCACCCGCAACATCACCAAGGATCAGCCTCGTGAGACTCCATGTATAGGATGCATTTTTAGAATGGCCGAAAGAGGACCTGACTTTGTGTGTTTCACTCAAACTTGTACGTCGCCCATCTTTCCCTCTCGCTGTCTGTCTCGACACGAGACTTGTGCTAACTCCTATGACCAGCCAAGCTCGCCTCCGTCTGCTACGATTGCGCCTGTGTTGGCCGTAGATGCGAACAGGTAGGTTTCGTCCTTATTTTCCTCTCGTAAATACTCTCTAATTTCATTTGGCAGCCCGTTGGTCAAGCTGTTAAACTGGGCCAGGAGCTCCAGAACTTGGCCCTCCACATCGCTGACAGCCAAAGCGTGAGTTTTAGACTAACCCCGATGATGTTTCTCTTGCTTACCATCTCAAGGCCAATGAAAGTGCTACAAAGGTCTTGTGGTCTAAAAGGGCCGAGGAGGCTAAATTATCTATCATCGCGATCCGGATGATGCGTCGTACTGCTCCTGATGAAAGATTGCAGAGCGCTTCTGAGGAGCCCAAGCCTGCTCCTGCTAGCAATGCACCTCCCACCGAGAGCATGCATATCTTTTCAAACGGTTCTACGCATCCTATCAAGTCTGAGCAGCACTATATGGCTCCTCCCCAAGGCATGTCCGTTCCCGGAAGCTTTGCTGCTCCTCAACATCACTCGGCCGTCCAGAACCCCCCGATCTTCCAGAGCATCCCAACAGACGGCTTCATGAATCCCCAGGGTATTTCTCACCATGGCCTTCGACCTTTTGACAACCAGCCTCAGTGTTCGATCACCCGCCTCGAGTTGACCATGAACCGAGTTGCCGAAAGTCTCGAAACAAACAACAGACTCCTCCGACAACTCGTGGCACAAGGCGCCCAGAACACCAACGCTCTCGTCAATTTCAACCGCGAAAACGGTATTCGTCTTGACGGAACCAACAGACTTGTCCGCCGGGTTGTTGGTGAGATCGGTGCCTTCAGAGAGGGAACTGAGGCCGATCTCCCCCTTTTTGAGTGATCTGTCGCGCCAACACCAGATACTTTGACTTTTTATAGAAAAGACAGCTCAAGTGTTATTATACTGTGTTTATCTCACTGCTTTGCCTTGTGACCTGATCCAATTTAATACTAACCTGCCGCCGGTCTCGGTCTACTAATCTTCTTTATACTCGTGGATTGAGACCACTTGCTCAGTTAGATCTTGAGGTTTAAGGCAGTATGTGATCTGTTGAAACTTAATATTAAGGTCAATGTGTGTTTTTTTTGGGCGTAGTGCATGATGCCTTAGATTGTGTTGTTGAGAAAATACTATTATTGTGTTATTCTAACTGTGTAGCCGCCTTACTTTATGTGTGGCTACGGCATAATTTATCCCGTCATAGTCATGACATGTATTAGAATGGCGAAGACGGTTTCATGAAAGGGCCGTCCCAAGATATTATGGGCTCGTTAGGGGAGACAATTTGAGAGACCTTATTTCAGGGGATGTTGGCGATAACTACCCATATAAGTCGACCATAGATGTTGATCTATTTGCTGTATGGGTGATCCTGTATGCTGAAATTCAGGATGTAGTAGGCTTGTGGGAGCTGCCATCAGTCTGACATGAGGTTCTATATATATATATATACATATATATATAGAATGGCATAGGAATGAAGATATATAATATGGATGTCATAAGACGTTGAGTATGGTTCTTTCAGAATGAAAAAAAAAAGTAATAGAATAGTGATCTAAAAAGTATATAGGTTAAAATGAGTAATTACTACTAGTTATTACAATTATATTAAGGATAAGTTGATTAGCTAGCTAGGTGGGCCCTGAGGGCGTTGTTTGTGTTGGTGCTATATGTGACCGTGGCTCCTAATACCTAGTATAAGAAAAGTTCTGTTTATTGGCTTCTAGGTTCTTTAATGTCTGTATTCTGGTGAAACGCAACGATACGATCCAAGCAATAAATACCATAGAGGCAAGGCCAAATAAAGGTTTAGAGCTTCGCGATTGTTATCCACCATGACACTCATCATTTCTCGTTCTAATCTACCTGCGCGAATGATAGGTAAAATTGAAGTGTTCTCCTGCGGCTTTATTAATTATGGAACCGGCCTGGCTATACTGATGATCTGGCAGAGCATTTCGGCCGATAATTGGAAGTTCTGCTTGTCCACTTTGGGCTGTCGTCAGAATGTATGCCTCAAGACATATCCATTGCATCTTTTAATATACAAAGAGAGGCTTGAATTTTCTAATGATTTATTCTATCGAGTCCCAACAACTATCAAGACTTTTATCTATTAAACACCAAGAAAATAGGGTCCAGGCCGTCCAAGAGTTGGTTAACAAAGCAGGGGTATCAACAATACTCTGAACAGACCTTTAAGTCTCAACAGCCTTGATCAAGGAGGATACTTCCAGCTGCGATATCTCAAGCACTTCTACGTCTTTAATCACAAAGCCAAACTAGTTATGATTTAAAGTCTGATATATCAATTATCGTACTTCACCAACTCCGCCCGCCCAGATGGTAGATATCGATGTCAACGCCAACAATAGATAGATGATTCAAATAGACAATTAAGTAGATTCTAGGCCATAAATACGGCGCTATAATTTACTTCTCATATGGTTAAAAGCTGAAGGAAATCCACGCCTGATAGTTGATTTTTGGTAGCTGCTAGGCTGACTAGTAGTACCTTAGGCTACGAGAGCTACTTTAAACAAAGAGCAATGCACCATGATAGAGCCTTTAACCTTTCAGCAAATTCAATGACAGCTACAGGATTGTCAACGATATAGCTCCGGCTTAGGTTCTGTAATTTGAACGAGAAACCATGACACTTCGACACAAGCCCACATACCGCGTCAGATGTTCAGCATATATCACATACAATCAGCATAGGTCTCATTCTTTTGCGTCAAAACAGTCAAAGTCCAGATTGTCGGTTCGGACCCTTTTTCCCGAGATATAATACAAAGGCTCCCCTCATAAACCGCAATACAACAAACAAAATTTCCAGTGTGGCCGTATTAACCCCATTGCAGATGGCGCATCCTCTCGTCTGTGAGAGGTCCTACTCCATTAAAAAGCATTCCCCCTTGTCTCTGAGGTTCCCCCTCCTCGTCGTGCAATTTAGCTGGAGAACTTTCGGGTAATCTTGGCGATAACTGAAATAGAGTTAGCACACACGATTGATGTTTGCGGGGGGGGAGGGGTGAAGTACTGTGAAGAGCAACGACGCTGAAGATGAAGACAAGGGACAGAACGAGAACGACAACAGGGTCGACCTTCAGACCGGGCGACTCATCGGTGTAAAGTCCTATCAAGAATATTAGTACAGTCGTTCAATTGCTTCAATATGTCCCAATCATCGAGACAAAGGGCAACGTACGCAGCATGGTGCTGCTGGAACCACCGGCGCCAGCGGCGCGAGTGCTGCTTGGTCGAGCATTGGCAATCTTCTCCTTCTGGTCGGCAGCAGCGCGTCGTCGAATAGCAGTACGGGGGCCACCAGGAATAGCAGGGGATGATGGGCGGCCGATGTTAGCACCGCTGGCAGCAGCGCCACCGTTGACGGGAGAAGAAGGACGAGGAGAAGACTATCAAGAGGATATGTTAGCAAATTGACGTTCTTGAGTCAAGATTCGAGCTCAGTCGCAATGCGACACTAGCTTCAATTGAAGGAAGTCGTGGGCGTACCATTGTTGAAGAATTAAACCTGGAGAAGGAGACTTGACAAAGGAATCACTGCAGGATTCCGAGAACCTAAGGCGCGAAGGAGAGAAATAAAGGAGAGGATGGTTGGTAGTTGGACGTTGATGGAACCAAGATCGAGAGAGACGACACGGGGACTAAATTAATGGAGGTGTTGTGCAATTCCCCCCCGTAAATGGAGCACCCTGTTTAGGGAGTTAGTTGAGGCCACCTTCACCAGAAAGAAGGGGACGCGGTGCTATGATTTTCCGGTGGCGTTGGCGTCGAGTTAGAGAGCTCCAGCCTCTTCTAGGCCAGGGACCACAGGGGACAGCTCTCTCCACATTGTGAGCTGCAAGCTCCACCACGAGCTAGCGACCATGCGATAGTTTACCAATTCAAGTCAAGCATCAAAGGAAAACATGTGATTTATCCAATTCAAAAACACCATCATTTTTTGTTAAGAAATTTTACAATTTAGTGAGACTATGTATGGGAGAGATGGCTGTAGCCTCTACACCTGTTGATCCTATCATGTGGTCAGGCGGATTGGATATCAACAACAAACGCTCTCTTGCTCGCTTCCGAGTCCGCTCGCAGACTCGATATGAATGTATCAAGGGGGTGGTGTATAATAATAAAAAATAACAACAACGACAAGAAGATGAATAAGAAGCGGTAGCAAAGACAGAAACCATGAGACAAAGGGAATCAAGATAACAAAAAACATTCCGCGCGTCGCTGGCGCGTCATCCATACACTTCACTTGCCCATTTCCTCCTCCAGCTCTATCATCCCCAGGAGATGGTTTGACAGGTTTTGGCTCTTCTTCTGAGACTGCATGTTTCTTCAGCCCAGCGTATACTGCACACGACATCCTACCCATCATTTTCCCCCGTCCCTAGAGATGAAGAGCCCTTGATATGTGTCCCGAGTCTCTCCTGATGCTGATTCATCTTTTTTGCTTCGAATCTGTGAGATGTAATAGCAAAGCCTGCTTCAAAAGGCATCCGTGCTGATGCCGACCAAAGACCGCCAGGTATCTTTTGTAAAAAAGGAAGTATGAGCGTAATGGTAAGGTCCGTTTCGTTTCGTTTCGTTCCACCCGCTCAATTATGTATGATTAGACAATAGTACATCTACACCAGGAAACGAAAGCTCTCAACCAAACGCCTTCCGCTATGATGGCAACTCTGCAGATCAAGGGTTGTAGTTCGAATCGTTGAAAAGTGTTTTTAACAAAGTGAAAAAGTTGTTTTAAGAAAGGTTCATGCTTCAGAGAGTGACGTCGAGGACAAGGCTAACGTCGGCCACGTTGGGCCCTGCCAAGTCTTCGAGAACGGGTATCAGGTCTAGTAGCTCGTTGTCGTGGGCATCAGAGAACCAACTGCTGATGGGGACGGCGTGCTGTGGATGGAAGATGTATGAGGTGGGCGAATTATCAATGATGATGGTATCCTTCAGGTCACGTCCGACTTGGGACAAGTCCTTGACATAGTTTCCTTGATGGTTGTAGCAACTCTCACGGAATAGTCTATGATGAACGACCTTGTGAATGTCGAGCTGGTCCAATAACGGATCTCCATACTGCAGATTATTAGTTTACTCACTGATTATCTGTGATTGGGTAGACTCACCTTAGAAACAGATGCTGTAAAGACAACAACCTCGTAGAGCTCGCCGACTCGCTTCATGAATTCGTCGACGCCCGGTCGCTTGATCACGTAGACATTGTGGTAGTTGCCCTCAATCTCGACAGGGATTGTGAAATCGGCCTGATGTAAGATCTGCATGATAATTAGTGCATATCCCATGATCCACCTTGGCTCAAAGCATACCTTGAAAGAACTGTGGACAAGAGTCTCGTCAAGGTCGAGAACAAGACACTTTCGACCCTTGTGCTCCGGGGCAATGGGGGGCAATAACCACTTCTGAGGCTCGGGTGCTGATGGGCCAGCGTCTGTGAATTGGCTGGGTGCCACAACAGCCGGACCTGGACCTGGGGGTGGGGGAGGAGGTGGTATCGTCCTTTGAGCTGGGGCTTCGACTGCAGGGGCCAATGGTGCCTCTTCTGGCTCTTCAGTGGCAGCATCTTGCATATTCACGTCACCATCATTAGCCGTCTTGTCTGCCACCTTTGGCTCCTCTTCTGTGGGTGTCGGCTTGGGGGGCTCCACTGTAACTGCAGGAGGAATCGATTGCTTCGATTCCCTGTTCGCTTGCTCTGTCGCTGTGGTTTCGTTGTGGACTGAGCCTGACGAGGTAGCCTCGTCTTTTGGCTCGGGTGCGGATACGGTTGCTTGAGGTTCTCTCTGGGAGGCTGGTCTGGGCTGTTCCTGGGGAGTGTTGGTTCGCGACCTTGCGGAAGTTGGGCGAGGAGGTAGGACGTCAAGCTTGTGCACGTTTTCGTTGTTATCCTCGTTTCCAGCTGGGCCTTCGGGGGTACCACAACATCCAAGAAAAGCCAACAGGCCACCACGGCTCTTCTTCTTCTGGGCGGGGGCGACAGGAGAGTTAGGCTGGGTGTTTGCAGCTGTGTTTGTGGGTTCAGTCTCGCCGCCTGTCCTGTTGCTTGAAGTGCTTCCGTTCCGTCGTCGCGCACGGAGGCTACCTTTGGAGTCTTTCGATCGACTGCCGATGCTGTTCCGGGGATCGCTGACTGTAGCCCCACTCAACCCCGTAGATGTTGGTGACGATTGGTTCCGCTGTGATGATGACCTTGATGGGACCTTAAGGAGACCACGGCCTTTCTTGGAGCTCGCTCCCCCTTCTGAAGATAATTGACCCTTGTTAGACATCTCAGCATCGGCAGAGTTCGCCTGGGGCTGAATTTCGTCGTTCGGGTTTGATTGTAGCTTGTCCGACATGTTGCTATTATTCTGTGAAATTGTCAGCTGGTGTTTCTTTGCAACTTGATGTAAAGGATCATGACGCAGGCAGGTGTGAATAGAGAGTATCAATGTATCAGGAGTACAGAGAAACGGGTTCCTGCGCCTGATGCAGCAAACTGCTCGATCCAGCACAACTGCTCACTCCGCGCAACGAATTTGAGAACAGATTCTTGCTGAAGTCGTACTGTTCCATCAATCGCGCGAGGTCTTGTGCAGACGCGCGAGGAATGATGGGTTACTCACGTCGTTGATCACGGCCAAACAAAACCAGCTTATTCTATAACCCCCTAACTCTTTCAAATATGGCCTATCGAGGCCTAAATCGCGACAAGAAACGAAGCAGTTCGGAACGCCGAGTGTGAAACCGTTGACGGGGTATACAGGCGTAGAGGAAAAGGGCGACGGTGGGAAATTACGGCGCGTTTGGACCGAGGCAGGGGAGGCTGGAAGTCAAGCGGCACCAAGAATCGATTATGAAGCGAAGCTGTAAAATCGACCAAAAGGGTCGCGGAAGTGAACGAAGGAATGAATGAATTGTCTCAATCGTCGAGACAGCCGCAGGAGTCAGGAAACCTGATCGGGGATTGCGTCGGTCGGGGATGGAGCTCGCTCGGTGTGAATGAGGAAAGACGGAGGACGGGCGGAGGAGAGAGCCCAGTGGTATCCGTACAGTAGGTAAGGCGAAAGCGGGCGGATCGGAGGCTGAAAAAGACTTGGGCTGCTGGGGGCGCAAGCGAAATGATTGCCTTTAAGATGGAGCTGAATGAAGAGGAAATTGAGGTGGGAAATGGGGAAAAACAGAACAGAACCAGCCAGGTGCAGCAGTTGCAGTGCGCGCAGGGGCTTGTCCTCACTTTCTCTTTTTTCCTCCCTGGTCTGATCCGGTCAGGTCAGGATAGTTTATTACAGATGATGAGAAATGGAGAGTGGAAAAGGTTAAGGTTGGTGAAAGGCTGGCAGCGACGGGGTGCCAGCGACAGTGGGAAGATGTGCTGGAAACCGGGGGTGCTATGCGCTGGGAACAGTGAGCAGCAGGGTCACTGGGGATAGCGGAAGACTGTGAGCCTGTGAGATGTCTCTGAGAATGACCGAACGGGACGGGGCTCGACTTGGGCTTGACTGGGGTGGATTGGAGTAAGAAAACTCAGGACCTCGATCCCAGACGACAGAAATACAGAAGTGAATAACCAGAGGATTAGTTGGCTCTTTGATGAGTTTATTTTAACATCCTCTGTCAAGGTCTGAAGTTTTCTTGCTCCCAGAGGCTGGGGTGGGTTGGAGAGGGAGGTGTGAGTGGAGGTTGACTCGAGATTAGCACTCCGGGAGCATCCAGTGTGGTAGGGGAGTATCGTATACTGTCTATACTCACTCGATTGGCACTGTCTTCTGAGCACGATGGACAGTGAGCAACACAGTCTCAAAAATCACCTCTACAACAACCCGCGATAGCACCCCTTGTCACTCATCTCCGCTAATAATGGTGCCCGCCAAGCTCATCTTAACCACCCTGTCCTATGGCTGGCTAAGGCCCGCTCATGGCTTGGTGCGGCGCCTAAGGACCCTTGTCCTTGGTGGCTTTATACATGTTCCTATCCGTACATTACTTTATGTCGACTCTGTCAAGTCAAAATGAGAGATCAGAACATGAGATGTGAAGCCCACACTGCACGAGTCAATCTGCAAAGAGCCACGGCCATCAGAAGCCATCTTCTGATCTGAATGCCCCTCTTGGACTAGTCGAATAATGCTCCGGTGAGAAGTTAGCAGACAACCAGGAGTGTTTAGGTAGTCCTCCTGCCGACCAACAAGGAATAGTGCCCTTTTCTCTGACCCATGTCCTCGATCTTCCAGCAGTGGGCTTTTCTTTAGCAATATCACCAGAACAAAAAAGGAGCTTAATTTCAAGTGCTGCATAAACAAACGGCTGAAAATCCTCACTCGGATTGATGTTTTTCGTTAACCAGGCCCAAGCTTTCCCCCGGCTTTTCAAGCTTCTTCCTTATCTGTCCTATCCCATCCTATCCTGATGGTGGTCTTGAGGCTGCCACCATGTAACTCACACCCGTGTGCTACATGACCACTGACGTACGAGATGAGATGCCTAATGCACACTCTTTG